TTCCAGCCCTTGCTTCTGTTCCAGCTCACCATCGCGTAGAATCGCGAATTTTGGCGGCAACACCCGCCCTTTGCCTCAAGATGCAGTTCTCAGCTCTGCAGAGGTGCGAGTTTGGAGCCGCTCGCAGTGGTCTTGGGCGCCGCACGGAAGCACCGCAGTCAAGCGACCACCGCGCATCGACGACAACCATGAGCGAGGACACGCGCGTGATCATCAACGCCGGCGGCAAGCTCTTCGAGACGTCGACGACGACGCTGCTCGCCTCCGGGTCCGGGTACTTCGAGGGGCTCCTCGGCAGCACGGGCGAGACCATGCGGGGCAAGAAGCGCGCGCGAATCAGCGCCGACGGTGACGACGACGCGGCGAGCCGCCGCGAACTCTTCGTCGACCGCGATCCGGAGGTCTTCGGCGACCTGCTCAAGTACATGCGCGGGAATCGTCTGCCGGCGGCGGTGCGCGCGGACGCGCATCGGCTCGACGATCTCAAAGCCGAGGCGGAGTTCTTCGCATACGATCGGCTGGTCGCAGCCTGCGACGAGGCCACGACCGCATTGTCGGAGAAGCCAGAGGAACACGCTCGCTGCATCTGTGGAGCCGTTAAGTGTCCTGACGGTGAGGGCAACGCAGCAGATTGGGGCGAAGAGATCGAATATTCAGTTCCGAAGGGTCAGGTGATGTACATCACTCAGATCTCAGCTGAAGTGAACAACACTGCTACGTGGATGCTCCGCGCTCAATGGGGCTCCCGTGTTGCCAAATGTGCGATCATTGGGAGATATTGCCTACCGACCACCAACAAAAAAGACTTTGGCGGTCAGATGATTTCCCTCACGCAAAACAGCATGAACCTGGTGCTCGAGGGGGGTGCAGCGGAGACGGTCTGGTTCGACGCATACGGCACCTCCTGGGCATTCACCGCCTGGATCGGCCACCCCAGCAAGATCCCCGGCCTCGGCGCGCGCACGAACTAAGATTACCCCCTGCTCCCTAGTCCAGCTCGTCGGCGTCGACGTAGGTCGCCTCGTCGAAGCGGGCCGTCGCGCCGCCGCCGTTCGGGTCCGCGTTCTCGTCGCCCGCTGGTCGGTTCGGGTCGACGATGCGGTCGCCGGAGAAGGAGAGGCCCTTGGCGGCGTCGTCGGCGGCCTTGGCCGCGCGCGCGTCGGCGATGAAGTTCTCGAAGTCGCGGACGCGCTTGTCCTCGGCGGCCTTCTTGTCCGCGCGGATCTGCGCGATCTCCGCGCGCTCGGCCTCGTTGGCGGCGTCGAGGGTGCCCCCCTCGGCGAAGCCCCGGGCCCAGGCCTCGCAGCGGCGGCGCTCGTCCTCGAAGACGGGGCGGTCGTCGAGGTAGCGGAGCGTCTTGATCTCGGAGATCATGCGCTTCCGGTAGTTGCGGAGCTCCTTGACGAAGGGGTTGCCCTGGCAGTAGAGGACGCGCAGGTCCGGCATCTGCTTGAAGATGGCCAGGACGCCCTCGCCGTCGGCGAGGCCGTTGGCCTGGACGTCGAGCGTCGACAGCGCCGGGAGCAGGAGCACGTGCTCGATCTCGAAGGCCTCGGGGCCGATGTTGTTGAAGCCGACGTTCAGCGTCTGGAGCTTCGTGCAGGCCTCGAGGCCCTCGACGCGCTTGAGGAAGTTCTTCGACAGGTTGAGGCTGTCGAGGTCGACGAGCGTCTCGAG